AGCAAGGCTTCTCTGTGCCTCTGCTTGGCTTGGGCTCTCCCTTTAGGTCTCTCTCCTGCCTGCGCTTCCGTCCGGAAGGAGAGGGCAGGTGAACCATCACAGAGAGGAAGGGTGCGACCTGCTCCCTATCACCTGCTCGCACCCTGCTTTGCACTCTTGCAGTATTGATTCTGAAGCCCTTGATGATGGAGCTCTTGGCAGGAGGAAGTAGGACTAACTGCTGTGAATAACCAGGCGCTGCTTGGTTTCTGAGCAACTGGTCAATGAGAGACATTTCATGATGTTTGACACTTTGTTGAAGTGCATGTATCTGAAAGTTGTGAAGTCTGAAACAGAGAAGCAGGCATACTGTACTTCAAGGAGTCAGACTTTTTGTGTGTGACAGAGCCCTGAAGCATTTTAGATGGCAACCCCTATCCCTCCCTCATCTCATTATCCCATGGAAGGGAGGAAGCAGCTGCTGTCTTGGGTGATCTTTCTGGGCAAACAACTGGCCATGCCCTCTTCCTTTTGAGGAGATATGTCTTTTAATGTGTGGTATCCCTGAACATGATTACTGTTCAGCAGCTGTCACTGTTTCCCCGCTGGTTCTGGAACAGATGTGGAACGTAGTGGGTAGAATATTGGATGGGGACTGCTCCTTGGGTGTACTTTGGGCAGGTTGCTACTGCTTACAACCTGATCTGATCCACAAAGAGTTTGTGGGGTCAAAAAGTGATAATCCAGTGTTCAGAAAGGTCACATGCAAAGTGATATATATGAAACTTCTTTATGCATGGATTGCAGCTAGGCAGGCTGAAGTCTGGACAACTTATCATTTAGAAATTATTCTTGGCTCCTCTTTCCTCCACACTGTACTGTTAAGGAAGTCAGTACCAGTGTCAAGCATAATGGAAAGAGGATTTCCCAAGGTTTGGTTTTCTTAACTTTGTGTGCACTTTATTGTGGCTAGAGGGTTGTATGGAGTTGGTGATGAAGGACAGCTTCAGCGGAGTTGGAAACCACACTGTTGTAGCAACATAAACTTAGGAAGAGATTGTGGATTTTATGGATGGTAACAGTATAAAAATACTTTAAAACAAACAGTTCTCTGTGCGTCCATCCCAATAAGTTACTGGATTTTTTTTGTTCCATAATATTCTGAATAATTCACAAATAACTTTTTTCTTCCTTTCATTCAGAATATCTAAAAGGCAATATTTCATAAAAATATATTGAAGATGGTTATAACTCTAATTGCAGAGTTGTATGGTGCAATCACTGTTGCACTGCATAGATCAGTCAACTAAAATAGCTGTGAGACAGACAGATCCCCCCATCTAGACTCCAATATTTGCATGTGTATGTGCATGTCTACTTGCTTGCATGTGCATTCAAACACAGAATAGACGTAGAAAAGTCAGTGATGGAAGATTGTCACACGTGTATGTGCATACATCCAAGGACAAATGGCATGTACTGAAATGGAGTGAAGAGCTATGGTTTATATGGCATGGTTTATATTGCCCTTTGTGAGTGACAGTAAATACTGTAATGGGCTTGCATGCTATCATGCATGTGGACTGAAATAAAAACTGAGAAAATAACTTGTTTGGAACATATGCAGGTCAGTGTAGAACAGGATCTTTTGATTCCATGAGGTTTTGCTGTCTCTGATTTAAAACCATGTGAGATTGATTGCCTTGAGAATCTTCTACTTGTGATGTAGGAGAATAGCTGCCAATCAAATGAGGCAGAATTGAATTTCAAAAAAATCCATGGTCTGATTTGCTTAAGTTTGTGTGTTGAGAGGTGGATCTGTTTTCATGCTACTTTTTGTTCTTGAGAAAAAATTCTCCAACATATCAGTGACGGCCTTGGAATTGGCAACCTCTAGCATTCCCAGTGCTCACTGGAAGGACAGACCCTGAAGCTGAGGCTTCAATACTTTGGCCATCTTATGAGAAGAGAAATCTCCCTGGAAAAGATCCTATGTTGGGAAAGAGTGAAGGCAAGAGGAGAAGGGGATGACAGAGGACGAGATGGTTGGACAGTGTCATCAAAGCTACTAACATGAATTTGACCAAACTCCAGGAGGCAGTGGAAGATAGGAGGGCCTGGCGTACTCTGGTCCATGGGGTCATGAAGAGTTGGACACGACTTAACAACTAAACAGCAACATCTGTTCCGATAGGGTTATAGAGAACTCCCAAAATTGATTTTGAAATACATCAGAACAGGCACATTATTTTTTTTCCATAACTTGATGGATACTTTCAGGGATGAATGCAATGTCTGTGGGGCAATTTAGACATAATGCATGTGTATATATAATTGAAACAGCATCTGTTTTTGTTTGCAGATGTGCACATAGCAATTTGGAATTGCAATTAGTTGGAGTTTTGTCCAGAATTAGAGAATCTGAATGGTGGAGAAGTTTCCATAGTTCTAGAGAGAAGAAATTCTTATCTAAATAAGCACATGGTGAATCACTGTGTGCAGTCCAGCCTGTAGAAATATACACAGTGGTGTATTGCAAGTAAGATTTGCATGCTATACAGCTGAAATGAGAAAAAGAAAGATATATGAAAGACATGGTATTCAATCTCTGCAAGCCTGCATTTTCTCATGTCGTTATAATCTACTTTTTCATGCCACTGGAAAAGGCTTCAGGAGTAAACTTTGAGGCAAAATCTGGAGCCGAAGTCCTGGAGGCAGTTCGTGTCGTTCTGACAACTCCTGCAACATCGCTGGAACCAGTTGTATTGGCTCTTGCCTTTCCATTGGACTATTTCAGTGATGTGGAGAGGAGGGAATTGCTGCTTGGGTAACAGCCTATCCTCCATATTATTTTACCGAGGCTTCGTGCTCTGGAGAGGACACTCCAGCTTTGGATACAGTGTCAAAGTCCTCCATAAAGAGTATGTTACCATAGTCTCTTGAGACTGAAGAATGCCTATGTATGTATAGAGCCCAGAAGCAAAACGGATCTGGGACCTAGAATTATTCACCATAGGTATTACTGAATAAATGTATTATTCTCTGTCTGATGTATTCATAACCATCCTGAGAACCAACACATTAAGACCTGTAGGTGAAAACCAGTTATTAGGCCTAGGTAGAGTAAATCAGTGAAGTGTTGACTCAAGTAGTCACATTCATTCATGAAGTGTCTGTTATTTGTGTGAGTATCACATGGATTAGGTCAAAGTACTTAAACATTTGTATTTTGTTTTGAAATACTTGATCATGCATGATCAAGTAAAGTGTTTTGTAATTTATCGTTTCTATTTTTTTATATTGCTTTCAACTATCAGTTTTAATAGCAAATCATTAGTGATGCTTCAGAGACTTGTGTAAAGCACAGCTTTTAACTCTTATGTGCCATTTGATATGGACCACATTTGTCTAGAACAGTGATGGTGAACCTATGGCATGCGTGCCATAGCTGGCATGCAGAGCCCGTTCTGTGGGCACGTGAGCCATAAGTTGCTGGATTGCTACCTCCCCCCTTTGGCGGCAGCCAAACCTCAGAAAATAGTCCGTCTCAATTTTTGCAGGTTTTTGCTAAGAAAGCAGAAGTAACATGCTCGGACAAGCCTCACACACCCTGCTTCTGAGCAGGGGAGGGGAGACAGAGAAATACAAAAGAGGAGGTGTGGGGAAGAAACCCAACTCCTTCCCTGAGGATGATCGGAAATGAAGTTTGCACAACTGAATCCAACAGCGGGGCAACAATGCTTTTCTCCTCTAGGAGGTGGCTGTGTGAAATGCCGCCACTGCGAGGTTCTGTAACGTGAGAAATGGCAGATGGGCAATATGCGGCAAGTTGAGGGGTGTGTCACCCGTATCTGAAACAGGGACTGATGAAAGTGTTGCAACAGAGGATTACTTATCAGACTGGGGGTGAGATTTACTAATGGAGGAGGACAATTGTGAAGGATAAAACGAAAGAAAAGTTGGCTCCATGAATAGAAAACAAAACAAACCAGGTCCATTCAGTTGCTTCTCTATCAATATGTGTAAACTGTTTAGATCTAAAGATTCTAATGATGCAGTGTAAACAGAACACAATTGGTGAAAAAAAAACAAGTGTGTTGAGTTTCAGAAGAATTCCATGTAGAGGCTAGACACTAAATAAGCTGCTCTGAATGATTTTCCATGGAGAAAAAATCCTCTAGAATCCATGAAGATCAAATCCATACATTGCATCCCTGTGTTCAGACTTTGCCAGTGACATGAAGTAGCAAATCCATGTTGTAACAATCCAGAGGATTTGAGCATTGTGCCCATCTTTTACGCCATGACAGAACCACAGAGCAGCAGATTTGTGATAATTATAGCAATTATTATAGTGATTATTTTGTTCAAGTGTATGAAAACAGAATTTATTCGATTTATACTCCACTCATCTAGACCTAAGTCTACTCTGGGGAGCTAACAATAAGACATAAAAGTAAAAGCAATACAATAAAATAAAAACAGCAGTGA